TTCTCTTTTTGTACTTGAAATATCTCACTCCAGGCTCTCCTTGCCCTAAGGGTTTCTGTTGAAAAGTCTGCTGTGATTCTGATGGGTTTTCCTTTGCATGTGATTTGTTTCTTTTCTCTTACTGCTTGTAGTATTTTGTTGTTCTCTTGGGTTTCTGAGATCTTGACTATTATAAGTCTAGGTGTAGATTTTTTTTGATTGTGGCTAGTTGGGATCCTATATGCCTCAGTTATCCGAATGTCAAATTCTTCCCCTCTGTTTGGGAAGTTTTCTGTCATTAATTCTGTGAATAGCTTTTTTAAGTCATTTGTATTTTCTCCTGCTACTTCATGGATTCCTATCAGTCTTAATGTTACTATCAGTCTTAATGTTATTCTTCTTTGCATCATCTAGGAGTTGTTGGATCGATTTCTCATGGTCCCCTACTGTTTTTAAGAGTCACTGACTGCAATCTTATCTTCTATATCTGAGAGTCTGTCTTCACATTCTTTTATTCTGTTGTGTACACTTTCAATGGAGTGTTGAATCTCCTGGATATGGGTTTGAATCTGTTTTATAGATTCGATTTCTTTCCTATGTTGGGCGTTTATTTTTTCTGTTTCTTTCTTATGTTGGCCCTTCATGGCTTCTATCATGGTCCTGAGCTCATCTATTTTTTGTGTCAGTTTCTGCTCTAGAGTCTCGAATCACGACTTTCATTTTGCTCACCATCTCTGTGGTTATCTGGGAAATTATTTCTGATTTGAATTTTTCTAGATCCTGATTGATCTGTTTTGTTACTTCCTGTGCTTTGAGTTCAGGGTGTCCTGGTGGTTCACCATCGGCCTTTTCATCCTCATTTGCCCTACTGTTTGCCATTGGCGAACTGGAAGTTGTCTTTGTGTCTTGCTTAAGTGTTTTCTCATTTTTATTTTTGTTGTCAGGCTGTCCTTGGTTTAATCTCTGGGTTATCACCAAATCTTCCTGATATAGTTGCACCCTAGCTTCTGGGTCTGTAATGACCCACAGACATTCTCAACTTCATAATATCAGAGAAAACAGCTGATCAATCCATCACAATCCTTTATCCCAACTGATACACTCAGCAACACATTATGATCAAGTACAACTTGGAAACTGACCTCCTGTGGTAGTCACTGGTCTATCACCCTTAAACCATTTGAATTAAATTGAAATCAAGAAGCAGTCCAGAACATGTCTGCAGTGAACAAACTTTTCAATACAGTATATTTACCATTTAATGGCTCAGACAGAGCTAGGACGCAAGACCCCTGATCTCAGTTAGCTGATGGCTGAACCCCATGATGCAGATGGATCTCAGGCTGTAAGGCCCAGATTAAGTTCTCCAACCCCCTGAACAGTTGAACTCCACACCATTCTACTACAGATTTCCCACACCCTTTCTTTAAAGATGTTTAAAGTTGGGAACTCAGAAAAATACCCTTTATGACAACCTCTGCCTCTGCAGAGTGGGTCCAAAGACTGGCACAATCAGGAGGTTCAAGAGTGCGCAGGGGTGGTGGTGTAAGGGGAGTTATGGGGGTTCAGGGGCGCCCACACAGCTACCTTCCTGGTGCTGGAGTGATGGTGGCTCTGGGTGGGAGAAGGCATGGCTCTCCTTCCTGCGGTGGATCGGGGCCCCAGGATGAGCATCTTCATAGTAGTTTTTTTTCTTTTATTGAGTTTATTGGTACATTTTAGGTATACAGTACAGTTACATTCATTATTGGGATCTTGTACTTTTACATGACAGGTGGTCTTGGTTTTCATTTTTTCCCCTTGTCCCTGCCCTCCCTTCACCCCCTCCTCCCCTCCCCATTTACAAGTACTTTATTTCCATGTTTTCATTTTCTCATATTTTTTCCCTTATTACCTTTCCCTTACCCTTCCCACTTTCCCTACACCTTTAGCTCTTTTCTTCCCATTTCACAGTGTCAGTTAATCTCATTAGGATCTTATATACTATTACAGTTTATTCACACCAAGGAAACTATTCTGTATTTATACATGTGTGACTTATTTATTTCACTTAGGAGTATATCCTCAATATGCATCCATTTTTCTATGAATAAGTCTAATTTCTCATTCTTTATGGCTGAGTAGTATTCCGTTTTATAGAAAAACCGCATCTTCTTTATCCAGTCTCCAACTGATGGGCAAATGGGCTGTTTCCAAGTTTTAGCTAGTACAAACTGTGCCGCTATAAACATTGGTGTGCATATATCACTGTGGTGTGATTCTTTTAATTCTTTTGGAAAGATATCCAGCAGAGGAATGGCTGGGTCAAATGGAACCTCTAGTCCCAGCTCTTTGAGGTCTCTCCATATTGATTTCCAGAGTGGTTGTACCAGTCTGCACTCCCACCAACAATGGAGAAGGGTTCCTTTCTCCCCACAACCCTGCCAACATTTGTTATTGGTTGATTTCTTGACAGCAGCCATTCTTTGTGGGGTGAGGTGGAATCTCAGTGTTGTTCTCATCTGCATCTCTTGAATGACCAGTAAGAAAATGTGGGTTTTCTATAAAATGGAATACTACTCGGCCAGAAAGAATGAGAAATTAGATTCATTCATAGGAAAATGGATACATATTGAGGATGTACTCCTAAGTGAAATAAATAAGTCACACGTGTAAATACCGAATAGTTTCTCTGGTGTGAAAAACTATAATACTACATAAGATCCTAATGAGATTGACCATGTGAAATAGGAAGAAAAGGGCTAAAGGTGTAGGGAAAGTGGGAAGGGAAGGGGAAAGGTAATAAGGGAAAAGAAAAAAATATGAGAAAATGGAAATAAAGTGTTTGTAAATGGGGAGGGAGTGAAGGGAGGGCAGGGACAAGGGAAAAAAATGAGAACCAAGACTACCTGTTAGGTAAAGGTACAAGATCCCAATAATGAATGTAACTGTACTGTATACCTAAAATGTACCAATAAACTAAATAAAAACATAAAGAAATAAATTCATATCTAGAAAAAAATAGTACTTTTCTAGACAGTAACCAATAGGCTAAAAATATTTTGCATGTTAAAAGAAAATCATAAGAGATAACAGGGTTACACCTACTATGATGGCTATAATAAAGAAAAAGACAAGAACAAGAGCAAATGTTGGTGAGGATGTGTAGAGACTGTCAAATGGTACTGCCACTGGAAGACAATCCAGGCATTCTTCAAAATGTTAAACATAAAGTTGTATGCCTAACTCAGAACTTCCACTCTTAGGTATATAATCAAGAGAAATGAGAACCTATGTTTCCACAAATATTCATAGTGTCATTATCCATAGCTGCCAGAAATGTCTATCAGCTGATAAATAAAATGTAGATGTATCCATACAGTGGAATACTATTTAGCAATTAAAGGAATCTGCGATTGATAACATACTACAGCATTGTTGAAACTTGAAAATATTTTGATAGATGAAAAGAACCCAGACAAAAAAGATCAACTAGTATATGATTCTTTTGTATGAAATTAGTTGTTTGAGATGGAAGGTTGATTAGTGGTTTTCTAGGACTACAAAAAACTGAGGTTGGGGCATGGACTACCAATGGTTATAGAATTTCTTTTTGTCAAGATGAAAATATTCTAAAATGAGGTACTGATAATTACACAATCCTTTGAATACAATAACACCATCAAGTTATCCACTTTTAATGCGTAAGTTTTACGCTATATGAAATTACATCCCAGAAAAAGATGTTCAAATGCAAATTTTATGCATACACACATCACACACACCAAATGCAACGTGCCATTCTGGATTGGATGTTTGAACACAAAATGAACATTAATGGAAAAACAAGTTAAATCCAAATGAATTCTGGTGCTTACTTAATTGATGGTGATATTGTTTTCTTCTTATTGACAAATGTACTGTGGTTATGTGAGATACTAACACTGGAGAAACTGGCAAGAGAAGGATATATGGGAGACCACTTGCACCCATCTGTCCATGCTGGCTTCAGATTCTCTCTTAACTGTCTCAGCCTCCTGAATACTAGGATTGTAGGCATACCTGGAATGTTCATTATTACACTAATCTGTACTATTTCGGTCAACTTAAAATTATTACAAAATACATTTAAAATTGAAGATGATATATAACTATTAAGACTTGACAAACTTCCAGGCATGGTGCAATATGCCTGTAATCTTAGCACTGAAGAGGCTGAGGCAGAAGGATTATGGTGAGTTTGAGGCCAGCCTAGGCTATGTACTGAATTCAAAGCTAGCTGGGAATACATAGTAAGAGCCTGTCTCAAAACAAAAAAGAACTTGAGAAACTACAGAGAATTTGAAAGGAATATTAGTTGATTTGTGATTGTTTAAGCATAACCACTCAATTAAAATAGAATATTAGAGCTTTTCACCATCGTTACGATCATATCAAGAGATTTTGAGTTGCTACTGTTTTTTTTAATTTAAATGAAACTCCAATTACTATATTTTGACCCTTTTTCATTGTAATCATTTCATCTGAAGGTACACAAAAATTACTGCTTTTATATGAGACTATGAAATGACAGTGCCATTGCTTCCAATAAAGAATCAATAATTGTTTTTATAGCATTAAGGTAAAGTCATCTAGAAAGATAGCATCAACTGAGACTTTTTTTGCACTTATGACTAATCTGTTTTAAACAAAAACCAATCTTAAAAACATTATTCCAGAAAAAGTACAGTTATGCCAAGAACAGATAAGACAGTATAAGGATCTCACAGGCTATGCTATACCAAACAGATAAAAAGTAAAACTGACTTTATACTCTAAGTCTATACAAATAAAATCCTGCCTTCTTTTCTTGTATGCATGCTTAGATTTCTTACATAAATAATGAAATACTTCATTCCATCACTTCATTAGAATGAACCCCTTAGAATAAAACTTAAAAGATCTGATAATCAACTCCCAATATTTATGCTTCTTTTTATCAATTTCCTGACATATTTGACCTAAGCAGAAAAATCTTTTCTGTAAACTAAGCATATAAATCTACATGTGTCTTGAAGAATTCTGCCCAGTTACATATATCCCATGTTGCTTTTGGTTTCCCATCTCTTCTTTGCTTCAAATCCCCATGCGAGTTTCTTCTTTTTTCGAGCATCCTGTGAGTTTTCAGTGTCCCTTTTGGCTGTTACAAACTTGTGACAGGCAATTGCTTTGGCAATTTTTACACCAAGCTCTCAAGTAGTCAGCTGGTTGCTGAGTTCCTCAGCCTTCTCAACATCCCACTCCTGCACAGCCTGGTCTGTCTTCTTTTCAAGGCCAGACTTTTCAACCTTTTTCTTTTTAACAGGGGGTTCAAATCTATCATTGGCTCCGAAGTACTGAGTAAACTCTTTCCACTGGGTTTCATTTAAGGACTGCTCACTATTAGATTTTTTATCATTCTTCAATTTACCTTTTCTGGAGCATTTTCTCTTTCTCACTCTGAATCTTGAGGCTGAAGTTTTCTGTTCAGAATGTTTTTTATGCAATTCTTGAAATTTGTTCCACATATCTAAGGGAATTCCAGAAGGGCACTCTTCATATGCATTTGCTTTGGCCTCTTTTTCGGTTTGTGATCCATCTGCTGACAAACCTGAGATTTCTGTTTCTCCAATGGTCCCAAGCTCTTTTTGTCCCTCTAAATTATGATCAAAGTTCTGTGGTGTGGCCTCATCTTCAGAATTTGATTCAATATCACTTTCATTTAGGCCAGGAGGCAGGAGTCCACTCCACATCTTTTCTTCAATCAGGAAGCGTCCACTCGGCATCCATTTTAAGACTGTGTTTAAAATATATACTAACTGGCAAGAAATGTGACAAGTCTGAGATTTTACCCTACTTGCAAACTCACAAGATACTTGAGCCTTGACAATTTCATGGTTGCTGGCTACAATCATAGACTCCTGGGGCAGAGGCAGATATGTTTGTTACTTATTGCACAGCAGGCAGAATGAGCATCAACTTCTTGGCTTTTTTTGTTTCCCAAATTCCTTGAAGATAACAGGGAGGGGTTCAGCTCAGGTAGGTGCTTTCAGCACTGAGAAATCTAAACCTTAAGAAACCTATGTTTTTATAGTGAGTAGTAAACCTGTGTAACCTTGGTCTACATGGAGACATTATCTTTGCTATACTAGACAATATACAGACCTGCCCTTTGCCTTAGAAGGACACAGTTTACCTTCCAAGACTGTTTGACACACAGACATTCTTGGAAAGATAGTCTAGAATAGAAGACAATTGGTGCTTCTACTCACAAGACCTGTAGAGATGCAAGAGACCCATTGGAAAATGATTTCTCTATACACATAGCTCTCATCCCATATTGTCTTCAATTTTTTAATTTTTTTTTTCTCATTGAGTTTATTGGTACATTTTAGGTACACAGTACAGTTACATTCATCATTGGGATCTTGCACCTTTACATGACAGGTCTTGGTTCTCATTTTTTCCCTATACCCCTGCCCTCCCTTCACCCCCTCCTCCCTTCCCTATTTACAAAAACTTTATTTATTTCCAATTTTTCATTGTCTAATATTTATTTCTTTTCCCTTATTTCCTTTCCCCTGCCCTTCCTTCCCTTCCCACTTCCTACCCTTCCCATACTGTATTCATTTAAAGAGATTTTATTTCATTTTCATTTTATTCTTATGTTATATGTTATTTTGCAAACTGTGGAACATTATATAATGCAAAACTGTCTAAAATGTCAGGAAAAATATCAAGTCTATTCGTCCTTTCTATACTTCAAGGCAAAGAATGTTTATTCATTGTGGGATAACAAGTGAGGTATTGAACAGTAATAAAAGTATTCTGATCTACAGAATTTTAGTAGAGTTTCTTAAAATGTGGGCTGAAAATTGTTGAAGCAAGAGCAGTATTATAATCCAGAGTGACTTATTTCTGTATTCGTCACTGTTATTAAAGGGCTCATTAAGCTTGTTAGGGTTTCTGTTAACTATCTAAATGTATTGCTTTGTTCAAAGCAACCTGTTTCAATTAGGAATAAAAGGCAGGGCATACAGTTCTGCTCTCTCTATTAGCAGAGAAGTTTATTTTACAATAAGTAAAATTTGGCTCACTTCAAATGAAATCCACTTAAATGAGAAAATCTGAATGAGTTTGAGTTTTGTTTTGTTTTTTTTTAAGAAAATTTGTTGTTTCAGTTCATTGAAAGGTGGGTGGGGTTTAGTAAAGTTACTGAATTTGTGGTTACTTCTTTATTCTTGTATTACCCAAATTGCATTTTGGAGAGAATATTTTATGTAATCCCAGGGAATCTGCTGAACATTTCCTTACATTCAGAATTACTTTCAAATATTTGGCATTCTCCATCAAACTAGAAAATAAAACATTGATGACGGCCTTGGCCCTTGTTTCCTTTCTTCTGTGTGGTAATGAAATAGCTGAAATGAGTAAATGTCCTGTTTCATAGCATTCTAGACTACGTGTTTTTTCTGTACTTCATAAGCAGTTATTTGAAATTGATTTAATTCATTTCTTGTGTCATTTATAATTCGGGAAAAAAAATCCCCCAGCTTTCTACCTATCTTTCTTAGTGTATAGTAAGAAAAAGAATTGATATTTATCAGCAGAGTAGATTAGTATCTCCTTAGCAAAGCATTCAGGAATTTACTGGATACATTGTATATTTAACGGCCATTAAATGAAAATTATAAATTATGTCTTTGAGCGTTATAGATTTTAATGAAAATTGCATATTTTGTCATTGAGCATTATATTCAAGTACCTGGTAATTTGTTTAGAAGCTCAAAGTAGTATTGCAGCTGAATTTTTTAGTTTTAATGTGATTAGAGGATTATGAAAACTTAAATGTATATTTTATACTTTTATGTTTTAAAATTAATTTACATTTTATACTTAACCTGAATGAAGTAAAACTCTACCAGCTTATGGTAGAGTGTTTGACCTAGCACACGGTCCTAGCTTCAGTCCCCAGCACCATACAACAAAACAGACACCAGTACCACTGCCACCAGTTTAGGTTTTTGCAGTTTGATGCATTTTAGCAAACTACCCCCTTATTCAAGAATATATGTATCAGCTCAAAAGCTTCCTTCTATTCCTTTTTGGTTAGTCTTCCCTTCCATTCTCTGTTAATTACTAATATGTTTTCTGAGAGTAGTTTGCCTTTTATAACATATCGTATAGATAGAACCATACAGCAGATAGTCTTTTCATCTGAAGGTACACAAAAATTACTGCTTTTATATGAGACTATGAAATGACAGTGCCATTGCTTCCAATAAAGAATCAATAATTGTTTTTATAGCGTTAAGGTAAAGTCATCTAGAAAGATAGCATCAACTGAGACTTTTTTTCACTTATGACTAATCTGTTTTAAACAAAAACCCTTTTCCCTTTTTATAACACACTGCTTTGAGGGTTGGTCCATATTGTTTAAATTAGTAGTTCATCACTTTTTTATGAATCTGTTAAATTGTATGAAGATAACTATAGTGTGCTTCTCCGGGCTGGTACTAGTTTTGTTATGGCACGAATTAAACTGCTATGAAAATGCCAGTATATGTCTTCATATGAAAATGTCTTTGTTTTGGAGGGGGTAAATACTCCTTAGTGGGTTGCTATATTGTGTGTAAGTGTATGTTTGACATAAGAAACTGCTAGACTTTCCCAAAGTAGCTCTACTATTATTTATTCTCTCAGCTATATTTTCACACTCCACTTTTTCACATCTTTGTCAACACATACAATAGTATCATCAGTTTTTAATTTTAGTTCTTCTAATGGAAGTGTAGTTCTATCTGCTTGTGGTTTTAATTTGTGTTTTCCTATTGCTTAATGGTTTTGGATATCTTTGTCTTTCTATATTTGGCATTCATTGTCTTTTTCTATGAAATGTTTATCTAAGTTTATCCATTTAAACAGTCCTGTTTTATTATTGTAGTGTAAACCCACCTTCCCCTATCCTAGCGATTACACTCATGATCTTTCCACTGAGCTACACCCCAGCCCCCCAGGTAGGACTCAAACTTGTGATCCTCCTGCCTCAGCCTCACAAGAGATGGGATTACAGGCAAATGCCACTGCACCCGGCTTTTTTGTTTCGCTTTTATATGCTCTGCGTAGAGTCCTTTAGCAGATTGGTTCCTTTTAAAATATTTTCTCCCTATCCTTTTCATTTACCTAGCAATCAATAGCTTTTGAGGCTCCAGTTTTTAATGTTGATGTAGTTGAATTTATATTTTTTCATGCTGTTCATTGCATACTAGCTAATGGATATTTGCCTAACCTCAAGTCACAAGAAAACGTTCTCCTGTGGTTTTTTTAGACATTTATAGTGTTAGCTTTAATACATATATATAATGAGTTTTTGAATTATATAATCAATTTTGAGTTTCAGTTTTTAGTGGTTTTTGTTTGTTTCTGATTTCATACTGTTGTAGTCAGAGTATCCTTTTAATGAATTCAATCCTCTTAAATTTGAGACTTGTGCCACATAATGTATAGTTTTTATTTTATTTTAAGATGTTTTATGCCGGAAAAATATGAACATCTTGGTGCACTAAAAAAGAATGTGCATTGTGCTAAAAATTGTTTGGAGCATTCTGTACTTACTGGTTAGGGCATAGTGGTTGACATCTTTTTGGGGCGGCTACCAGGGATTGAATTCAGGATCTTGCACTTGTGAGGCAGGCAGTGGCCCCACTGAGCTAAATCCCCCGCCCAAAGTTTAAGTTTGTTCTTTTTTTTTTAAATCAGGGATCGAACTCAGGTCATTGTGCTTGTGAGGCAGGTGGTGGGACCACTAAGCTAAATCCCCAACCCTGGTTGACATCTTTGAAATTTTCTGTATTCTCACCAGTTTGCTAACCATTACTGAGAGGAAACTGCTAAAATCTTTAAGGATAATTTTTTTAAATTATATTATTTCAAAGTTAATAAAAGTAAAAGGTTATAATGATAAGACTGTTGGGAGTTTTAAAGGTTAAGTTTTTTTAAAAAATACTTTTGAGAGCCAGGCGTGGTGACGCATGCCTGTAATCCCAGAACTTGAGAGGCTGAGGCAGGAGGATCACTGTGAGTTCTAGACCAGCATGGGCTACACAGTTTCAGGTCAGTCTCAACTACATAGTGGGACTCTGTCTCAAAAAACAAACCAAACCAAAACAAAAAAAAGCTTTTGAGAGAGAGGTAGATATTTTGCTTTGTAGAGTCATACAGACTCGTATTGCAGTGCCATTCGTGCTACTTGCTACAGTACTTTAACAACACCTGAGCTTATTCTTTGGGTAAACAGAGATAATACAAAATTCTTGAAGCTATTTTGATGATTTGGTGAGATAATAAATGTAGAATTTTTAGCACAGTACCTGGCATTTAATTCTTTTTTTCTTAATTTTATTTGTTTGTTTATTTATTTTTTGGTACCAAGAATTGAACTCGGGACTTTCCACTTTTGAGGCAGGTGGCAGCACCAGTGAGCTAAATCCTTGGCCCTTGGCATTTAATTCTTAAATGAAAATTATTTTGTATTTTTAAACTTTAAAAATATGTAGTAGCTTATAAACTAGAACATCAAATATGTATTTAAATATTTGATCATTTTCATCTGTTAACTTTTTTTTTTTAATCCATTGTTGGCCTGCACCATGGCTTTCTTTTTCTGTTGCTTTTGTATGACTGTTGATAGGCTCTTCGGAATTTTAATTGTCTGGCCTGCTTTGATTATGTTGTAGTTTGCTTGCGTGGTTGCTTGTTTTTTCCTTGACATTTTAACCATTTTGAAATGAGGTATTAAAAGGCAGATGGATTTGGTTCATGCAGCACATAAACTCTTAGCAGTTGTTAAGTTATCCCACATTACTTCAGTGTCTGAAGCAAATTGTTTTTGTTTTTCAGATAAACCGTGAAAGCTGGTGTACATTAGAGCCATGCCCAGCTGCACCATCTCTTTTGACCTCCAAGCAGAACCTGGGTGAGCAGAGATTTTCCATCTTCTGATTTAACTGAGTAACTGTATCCAGAATATTCATTTTTCTGGAGACACAGTCCTCTTTAATAATAACAGGTCATTTGATTTAGAGCTCGGTCCTTTTTTAGCATGCTGTACAGTAAATTAGAGAAAGGGGTATGCACAATTTGGGTTTGTAGCCATAAGTTTTTCATCTGATAAAATTACATATCTAATACATCTATAAGTATAATATGGACACATATGTAAGTCAACCTGTAGTTCTTAACTGCATATTGGAATTATATAAGCAAGCTTTAAAAACATACTGATGCCTAGACTTCACTCCCTCTCACCCCTCACTCAGGGTGCTGATTTAATTGGAGTGGGTTGTGACCTGGGCGTCAGAATCTTTCTAAGTTTCTTTGGTTAACTTACTGAGAAGCCAAGACTGAGAACCACAACATTTTCAAAGTATTGTCAGAAATTGAGTCTTTCCTTTAGCAGCTATGAGATACTAGTAACAACTGATGGAAGAAAAATTCTCGTAAGACTTTGCTTATTACTGACAAAGCACATGATTTGTGGTTGGTTAGTATTCCCAATTTTGAACCCAGGTTCAGCCACCAACTCTCTGTGACGTAAAGTATGTTCCCAAATGTCTCTTTGCTCCATTGTTTCCCATCTGTAAAGTATTACTAGGTTGCCTCATTGAAGGGTGTTACACAGATGAAATGGTGAGTAATTATATTTCTCTGTGCCTCATGCTACAGCTAAGTGAACACTAGTAATTTGCATTCTGGATTCTTAAGTCTGCTTAACCTAACCAGAGTTGTTTCTCAGTTTTCACTGTGCTGCTTTAAAAATTGTCTTCTTTCCCAGTTTTCACTACTCTGCTTTAAAAATTGCCTTGTCTTTATTTTTGCTAGTTTTTTTTTTTTTTTTTTTTTTTTTTT